AGGCCTAATTTATACAACCACGATCGTTAGGTGACGATGCCATTCATCTGGTGGTTTCATTTGTTCCATTGACAATGTACGATTGAAGAACAATTCATTGATTCTACAGAAAACCTCACCACAGCTGAGCGTCATATTAATGAAATCCGAGTAACTTTTAGAGATCTGTCTAACATCCTATTTTTGTTATAACGATTAATAGTTTACTGTAGAAATACCCTGAAAAACATTTGAATTCGGCAATGTTCTAATAGGATGCCGAACCCCAACAGACCGGGTGTCGGAGCCATCACAGACATGCATTATCAATATACTGAACTAATTATTCCCGAGTGTCTTTACTTGAATGCAAGTTTCGCGAAATAGGGTGAATTTTTAAATCTCACGATTAAAGAACTACCGTAAAGTCGTCGGAAAAGAGCGGGGGTCCATTACTCCAGGGCAGAGGGCCTAACGCTCGTTTCGATCTCACAAATGTCATTAGGTTTTACGATTTGCCCATCTTAAATTGTTACTTAGATTGATACCAAGATAGAAGGTCAGAGAAGTTGTTATCCAACTGCTTATTATATATATATATATATATATATATATATTTCACTTATAATTTTTCCCCTATTTACATCGTACCTCAAAACATGCCCAAATCAAATCTCTAACTGCACAACTTTTTATCTTCTGACAAAGCTGCTTCACTTCTAAATTCTTACATTTTGTTTCCGAGCAGTTTGATGATATAGGCAGTGTCTAGATCACTACTGTCTGTTATATCCCAGCCGGCCTGATGAGCCCCGGAATTAGGCCTCGAAGGCACTGGATATAGTACATTAAGGCCTCGTAGCAACTGGATATAGTACATTAAGCTCTCGTAGCAACTGGATATAGTACATTAAGGCCTCTAAGACGCTGGATATAGTACATTAAGGCCTCGTAGCAACTGGGTATAGTACATTAAGGCCTCTTAGACGCTGGATATAGTACATTAAGGCCTCGTAGACGCATATATGGATAGTTCACATAGTATTACATTCCTCTTTACTTTTGCTCAACTCGTATAAACCTACATTACATATTGTTTAAGAAATACGTATCTCTGTACGAAGAACTTTTAAGACTTTTTTTATATCAGACTGACTTCTACTTGTTTTCATGCCTAAAGTTAGGTTTGATTTGTTTTATATTTCGCGCGAAGCTACACGAGAGCTATCTGCGCTAGCCGTCCATAATTTAGCAGTGAAAGGCTAGAGGGAAGGTAGCTGGGCATCACCACCCACCGCCAACTCTTGGGCCACTCATTTACCAACGAATAGTGGGTTTGACCATCATATTATAACGCCCCCGCGGCTGAAAGGGAGAGCACGTTTGGTGGGATGAGGATTCGAACCCGAGACCCTCAGATTGCGAGGCAAGAGCCCTAAACACCTGGCCATATCGGGCCAGAATCTTTAAGCCTGATAACTAATCTTTTTTTTTTTTTGACACCACACACACAGATGTTTCGTGCTGTTTATTAACACGGAGAGGCCACTATTTGTCAAGGTCTCGAATAAAATTCTCATTAGACTGGTTCTTATTTTCCGGACTGTTATACAATAGACACTCAATTTTTAGGTAGGTCGAACTTTCTTTAAGAACCATCTTGGAGATGATAAAGCAAAGTAAAATGACTTAAAAACACAACATATAACGATTCTAGCTATTAATAATTAGGTTTTATGTGACTATCCTGCCAATTACACAGACAGCATACTAGTACCTGCTAACTGATATATGATATACAAGTACCAAGTTCCATCTGTCCAGAACAATAGTACCCTGCCAGCCAAACTTGTATATAGGTACCATATATTCCATGTGACCAGCATAAAAGTACCCTACCAGCTAAACTGTGGTTTACAGATACTACCTTCCATGTGATCAATATACTAGTACCCTGCCAATTAAACTGTGGTATGCAGTTACTATATTCCATCCGGTCAACATGTCAGTACCCTGCCAATTAAACTGTGGTATGCAGTTACTATATTCCATCCGGTCAACATGCCAGTACCCTGCCTAATTAAACTGTGGTATGCAGTTACTATATTCCATCCGGTCAACATGCCAGTACCCTGCTAATTAAACTGTGGTATGCAGTTACTATATTTAATTCGGTCAACATGCTAGCCAACCATCACGCAATTAACCAACCAATCAAGTGAGGTTTCTTTAAACCGGTTGGAATCTGTTTTTACTCAACGTGTAGGAACTCATTCCGTCACTATTAATTATTTTCCACGACCGCGACGGCTAGCCGTGACGTCATTACTTCCTGATAGTAATAGGTATTGACTACTAGTTTCCATGACAACACTGTATTTGAATCTCACCAGCTTCATCAGTTTATAGTTTATGTACGAGTATAATATCAAAACATTGCTTTTCAACACAATTCTTATATCACGTATAAAAAGACAGAAAGTTTTAGAACATCGTAGATTTTATGCAGTAGGCATCTATACCGAACTACTTTTGTCCAAGTTCTCTAAAAATGATTCCTGGTGATATTCGTACTTATTTATCAGGTAAAGCTGACCTTAAAATTACTACAGACCATTAAAATTCGTCTCATCAAGTAACGTTTCTGTTTGAGAAGAAAATTATTCTGCCTGTCTCTTTTCGATACTTTAACCTTTAACCCACCTTCATGTGAACATTGGAATTTTGTTGCGAAATCAACTTACGTAAACGTTTATTTTTCGAACTGGAAATGAAAACATTACGTCACAGCCCTTGGCATCATTGCTCGGTACACTTAACTTTGCTGTTGAGTTTAGTAAACAGTTAGGTACTTGGGTTGAGTTTAGTCAATAGTTAGGTACTTGGGTTGAGTTTAGTAAATAGTTAGGTACTTGGGTTGAGTTTAGTAAATAGTTAGGTACTTGGGTTGAGTTTAGTAAATAGTTAGGTACTTGGGTTGAGTTTAGTAAATAGTTAGGTACTTGGGTTGAGTTTAGTCAATAGTTAGGTACTTGGGTTGAGTTTAGTAAATAGTTATGTACTTGGGTTGAGTTTAGTAAATAGTTAGGTACTTGGGTTGAGTTTAGTAAACAGTTAGGTACTTGGGTTGAGTTTAGTAAATAGTTAGGTACTTGGGTTGAGTTTAGTAAATAGTTAGGTACTTGGGTTGAGTTTAGTAAATAGTTAGGTACTTGGGTTGAGTTTAGTAAATAGTTAGGTACTTGGGTTGAGTTTAGTAAATAGTTAGGTACTTGGGTTGAGTTTAGTAAACAGTTAGGTACTTGGGTTG